TCTCCGCACCTGCATCTGCTCTTACCGGCGGCGCCAATCAATGGCATCAATTACCACTGCGCGGCCGTCGTATCAATATCTTTCCTCGGCGTAATCGGCTTTGTCCGCCTAACCCCGCTCTCATTGACCGGGGCATCGCGCTTCCAATTATGGTCCTCGTCTCCCTCCTTAAGCGGCGGCAGCGGTCATTCAACGACAACTTCCATTGTCGCCAATCCTCCAACAGCAATTTCTAGCAACCTACAACTCCCACAAAATTATCGGATCCGCCATAGCGCAATCCGCCTCACTTCCATTGCACTTCCAATTGAGCGGCAGCGTCCGCCACAAGGTTAAGAGTTGCCACAAGAAAAAGAGCCTTGCTCGGCTCTCATTAACAGCCAGCTTGAGAAGACCCAGCTCATTAACAGCTGCTCAACAAGACGCGTCTCTCTGTCTCCCACAAGCCATATTTACCGGTGGTTTCGATCCGCTTTCTAGCTTCTTCGCCTGTTCTGCTCTCTTGTACCTGCCTCGATCTTCGTCAACGCACTACGGCTTCAAGCGCTTTCCTCTTTGCTAATTGCTAGCCGCGACACACCGAGAAAAAATATGCCTCTATCTCAATTCGCGGCCTCAATTCTCATCAAATCTACTCACGCATCCTGCCGTTGCGCTCTTTAGAGGTCGCGCTTATTCCCCTTCCCGGCCGCCGAGATAATTTGCTCAAGATAAAGAATATGAGAGAAGGGAGGAAGGTCAAAGCTAGTTGTCGATGTCTCTGATGGTTCACGAAAAGCCCGCCTCCTAGTCCGGTTGCAGCCCGTTTCGTCCCACTTAAGCTTCGCATCAAGTTCAAAGTCGCCTTTGAAGCCACCGCCAGCTATCACTCCATCCACGTCGACACTTAAACTCCGCTCCAACCCCAAAATGGCGGCCTGCAAACGCTTCCAGAGTTGACAGCTCCGCCCAATGCCATTGGGCTCGCAGCCCACGTCACTATCTTTCGTCCCGCGGTTTTTCAGCTAGCAACTCGCGGCCCATCCACCCAGGCAGTTACACTGGGCCCACGAGATGGCTCCGTCCCACCTGGTGATTCGGTGAAGAGCAAGGGATATAAAAAATCATATGCTTCGAACCGCGTTCACACCTTCAAATCAACACAACGCCTCCATATATTTTATTATTTTCGACGCCTCCAAATCAACAAAACGCGTACCGACCGCGATCCATCCTGCACGGCCCACCTTCCTCCACGTCCGGCCCACGTCGCCATCCATTCCGCCCCAAACCCTTGGTCTGCGCAACAGAGAGCCGCACCACAAGACCGTCCACTAAGTCAATAGCAAAAAAGGCTTCACAGCTGATTCGAACCTGCGCCCTATCATCATCAAACAAGACTGCGAGCCACTGTGCCACAATGCCTGGTTATGCTATCAGTGCGTGGCGCCCTAGGTTTATTGATTGTTCCTGCCGCTCCAACATAAGCTAAGTACTCCACTTCTACACGACATTTAATTTTAAATATTTGACTACTATGACTATGATGCTACTGAAGACGTGACGCACCAAGAGATCTATGGGCACCACAAGGAAAATATGATCACATCTCACACCTCGATTATATCCATTCATGTAAGCCTCGACAGAAGCGTACAAATAATTCTTCGACAAGAGCATTGGTATCTCCATTCATGTAAGCCTCGACTGAATCACACAAATAAGCCTTCGACAAGAGCATTGGTATCTCCATTCTTGTAAGCCTCGACTGAAGCACACAAATAAGCCTTCGACAAGAGCATTGGTAACTCCATTCATGTAAGCCTCGATTGATGCACACAAATAAGCCTTCGACAAGAGCATTGGTATCTCCATTCATGAAAGTCTCGACTGCAGCACACAAACAAGTCTTCGACAAGAGCATTGGTGAATCTTCAATATAGGAGTGATCGATTACCTCCATTCATAACGTGCGGCTACTACAAATGCACTTTACACGTGAGGTTACCCAAACGCACTATATAAAAGAGAGCACATGGCATTGAAGAATCTCCAAACAGCGAGTGCTCAACGCCTTAGTGAAATTCACCACCTGGGGGAAAATGGCATTGAAGAATCTTCAAAGAGAGAGTGCTCAACGCCTTAGTGAACTCCACCACCTGGGGGGCAAATGGCAACGAAGAATCCCCAAAGAGTGAATGCTCAACGCCTTAGTGACATCCACCACCTGGGGGGCAAAGGGCGTAAAACTGGCACCACGTCATGTTGACGCGATACCAGTTGGGGGCAACTAGAGGTACATGGGCCCCATCAAGAGTGCTCGACAAAAAAAAACACGATAGAACAAGCTAGAGATGATTTAAAACTCATCACCAGCTTGGGGGGCAATTGTTGGGGGTGTTACTAAGCTCGTATTGCATAGACTAAGTAGTAGTGCACCAACATTGAGGTGCACTAGCATTGTGGTGCACTAGCATCCGCGCTACTGGTGACGCCCAGGCTAAAATGAGACTAAGTATTAGTGCACCAGCATTGAGGTGCACTAGCATCCGCACTAGCGATGAGCCCAACCTCCTACGCAACCAGTGCCCACCACGTCTATATAAGGGCTTTCAAGCCTCCAAAGAAAGGGACTTCTCCTCTCTCCTGACTTGTTACTTTCCACTATCTCTCTACACCTTATCTCTCCACCTTATTCTCTGAACTCTTTCCTGAAAACTTAAACTAACTTGATCGTTGGAGCTTAATCCGGGGGCATCCCTGGCTCTTTCACAGGTTCCTTCTCTCCCGATGAGATCAGACGAGCAGATCGTGAGTCAACCCCACACCAACAAATATCATTGTTCATACCGGAGCCAGATGGTACAAACAACATGTTTGCATCCCTTGCATTGCATTGTTTCTTCTTTACTTGCATAATAGCTTAATTAGGATGACAAATATGGCACCTCAACCCACATTGCATTTGTATTTCTCTAAATTACAACTCGAGCATATTTGGTTCGGTTTGAGTAGTTATTATCAAAAGACCTTGTGGAATACGACTTTAGGTATATGTTGGATTATCACCTGTGTTTACTAACCATGACAACTATTCAAATGGTAAGCACCTTAACTCAGGGGCAGAGGCTGGGAGAAATAGATGGATCCCGAGACTCACATTGATTAGAAAATAGAGTTAATTAATATATTTTTTAACGATCTAAACGTGGAATGAATTTATAAACAACTGCAAACAAATAAAACGTAGTAAATTCTGAACAAACAATGTTATCTAGCATTTCTCTAGTAAATAGCTGGTGTTTTGTGAGGTAAACATACATTGAGTTGTATATAATACATGATGATTTTTAGATTTGTTCTTCATTTTTAAAAATTATTCTTCTTGAAACTTACTACCTTACTTTTATCCTAACAAGTTGTTTAATAATGGTATTTAGCGAAATATATTATGCAACGATTTTGCTTTGAAATTGAATCAATATTGGATCACAAATGTTTTATTTTGTAAGATAGATTGAGAGTGAAATTCTAAATAGTTTCAATGATAATTGTTTTTTACAAAAGTTTCCTAATATGAGAGTATGTCTTTTTTTTTATGAAAATCTAGCTTGCATTAAACAAAACACAAAATTACATATGACCTGGCTCCGACCAAAGCCACGCACGAAAATGAAAAGCATTACAACTCGTAGGAAACAAAGATAGGGCCTTCTTAACCACCATATGTAGGGATGACAATCTCGACCTAACCCATTTTACCCGATCTGTTTGGACTGTTTTACAGCGGCCATGGGTACCTCTCATCGACTCGACTTGCCCTGACCCGCCCCATTCTCGACCCGTTCTTGCATAAATTACATGTAATCTTAGTCAAATACTTAGAATTTTCCTTTTATTACCACATATTTTAGCTATAATAAAGTTGTAAATAAGTGAAAACCTCAATTTCTCCAATAATTTAACTATAATTTATCATATTATGGTTTGTTTCTTGGTCTTTTAATGAAAATAACGAATATTTCTAACGTTTTTCATATAAATTACATACTCATTGGATCGACCTGCCTCAAACTGCACCCCATGATAAATAACCCGACCTTGACCTGACCTGCCGCGTAACAGGTATGGGTATCAAGATACCTGCCCCGAACCTGCCCCATTATCATTCCTAATCATATGGGATACCCTATTGTTCTCCCTAGCCACAAACCCTAATCTGAAACCTAATATGAGAGTATGTAATAAGTCATTAGAATTGATAATTCATATCAATTATCATACATTTGTTAAAGTTTTCGGACCCATCTTACCAAAAACTCTGCCACGCCCCTCCCTTAACTCATTCCCTATTGGACAGTGAAGTGAATTCGTTACTGTATATATACATTTTTAAATTTTTGATATCATTGCTGGGTGAATTAATTGTAACGTGTAGGTGGGGAGTAAGGGTGATACCAATAGTATAGGCATGAGGTTGCACCATGGGCATGCCAGCTTTAGGAATGGCAATGGGGCAAGTCCGGGGCGGGTATCTCGATACCCATACCCGCCCCATGGCAGGTCGGGTAATTTATCACGGGGCGCGGGTCGGGGCAGCTCGACCCATTGGGTATGTAATTTATGTGAAAAACATTAGAAATATTCGTTCTTTTCATTGAAAGACCAAAAAAGAAACCATAATATGATAAAATGTAGTTAAATTGTTGAAGAAATTGAGGTTTTCACTTATTTACAACTTTATTATAGCTAAAATATAATGTAATAAGAGGAAAATCTTAAGTAATTTAACTAATATTATATGTAATTTAGGCAAGAATGGGTCGAGAATGGGGCGGGTTAGGGCAGGTCGGGTCGATGAGAGGTACCCATGCCCGCCCCGCCTCGCCTACGAGGCGGGTTTGACCCGCCCCAAAACAGGTCAAACAGGTCGTGTAAATCGGGTCAGGTCGAAATTGCCATCCCTAGCCAGTTTGGTGGGAAGGTGTAAATATATATCATCCTCAATAATGCTTTTCATGAATTTCATGAGGCCGGGAGACTATATGCATGTACAAAATTTACATAAACCATGTGGCCACATTGAATTCGCGCGTTAAATACCAAAACGAGAGCTGTGCCCCGCCGATTTAATTTCTTCCATCCGTCCCTTTGTATTTATACCCGCATCCGAAGCGTCGTCAATCCAAACCAAAAACACATTCCCTTTCTTCTTCTTTTCCTCCTTTCTTTCCTTCTTCTACAAGAGCAAAAACATGATGAAGCCAGCTTCCATTGTTCTTTCTCTAGCTCTATTAATGCTCATAGTTTCCGAACATGACTATGCAACTGCAAGAGACGTTCCCACGGCTATCCCATCATCATCGGCTGGGGCGGCCGGCGTCAACGACCAAAAGAACTTCATCGGTTACGGTGGTGTCGGTGGGTTTGCCGGCGTTGGGGGTGCCGGTGGGCTTGGCGGGATCGGTGGGGTCGGCGGGCTAGGTGGGCTTGGAGGAGATGGGCTTGGAGGAGGCCTTGGAGGCGGGCTAGGTGGTGGTGGGCTTGGAGGAGGCCTTGGAGGCGGGATCGGCGGTGGTGGGCCTGGCGGGGCTCTTGGTGGCGGCATTGGTGGACTCGGTGGCACCATAGGCGGTGGAGGCCTCGGCGGCGGGATTGGTGCTGGCAACGGAGGCGGGGGCTGCGTCGGCGGCGCCGATACAGACGTTGTTCAGCCCTGATCATTTTGGTTATTATATTAGTTCATGCATGGAGTTCTGTTTGTCACTGCCAACTGCTGCTGTGGCCGTTAGTTAAACTTGGCTGCGTTTCTTTTTTTAAGCCGGTGTTTCTGTTTCGTGACGCTGAGTATTATGTGTTGCTATTTCACTTTGTTGTCGTACATTTTTTTAGCTTTATCAGTTTATTGTGCAACATGTTCACTTATTTTCCACGGTTCTTTTTTGTCGTTCCAGACAATTCCTATTTAATTACGTATCCTCCTCGTGACTTGTCAGAGCAGAGTGTCAGATCAATTATTAATTCCATAACTAACAAGGGTGAAACGACAACAACCAATCGGTGCAAAAACCCCATATGAGTTAAGATGGTTAATATATTTTTTGTAGTAATTGTTACTACCAAATTTAATATCATTCATTTCTTTCCCCCTCTTTTTTAAACTAACGGTTAAGATTACTTTAAGAGTATGTAGTTCTAGAAACAAAAAGATTTCACATCTAATTATTATTCTTTTAATGCATATTTTTTATAGTTCTAGAAACGAAAAAGATTTCACATGCTATTGATAGTTAATGCATATTTTTTATTACTACATATCATACAACCCTAAAATGTTAGAAATTTAGCTCTATTTCAAATTTCGATTTTGAAAGTGAAATTAGGTTTTTATTTTGATTATTTGCACGTCATCTCTCTTAAATTATAAGCCTTAGATCTAAAGATATATAATGGTCCGGATTGAGAAGTGATATCATTTTTTATTTTATTTGTTTAAACGTTTTCCAACCATCCATCTAAAGTGTGGCTGGGATCCAAATTATGTCAATGGGGTGAAAATGAAAAAGGAATTGAGGTAACCTCTCACTTGGCATGGCCTATATATGGCTATGGCGTACGCAGTTTCTTATTTTAATTTTTATTGTAACTCGATATTAGCTCTTGGATTGATACAAGAACTGTTGCCTGTTGGTGATTAAAAAAGATGAACACTAGTTAGTCCTTAATGCATCCCATTCCAACCAATTTGCTTATAACTATTGTACTTTTTTTTTTTTAAATTTTCATATTTGCAGGACCGGTCTATTAGCATCATGCTAAACATTTGTTTATGTTCTATTAAATTAAGTTAATAATCAAGAAAATGAGTTAATATTTTTGTTGTGTATGGGAGGTTGAGTTTAGGATTTCAAGACTTAAAGTCCTTTCATGCATAGCGTTAATAACTTGAGACATAAAATATACCGTGTGTGATCAGTTGCATGTTGATTTATTTTTCTTCTTCTTAATTTCAACTCTAATCTTCATCTTTGTCCTTGGGTTAATCCAAATATTTTGAGTGATTTAATAACATGTGCATAAATATCACTTATGTTTTTTTTTTTGGAGCTGTCTTTTTTTTTTGCACCAACTAATTGGATCATGGCAATGTACATTAATTTATATTTATGAGTCGGATTAAGAATTAATTAACAGAGGTTTACTTTTAGCTGCATGAGATTTTGTTTAAGATTTAACACTTAAAGTTTCATTTATACGATTAAAAGTCCGAGACATGCAGTCTTAGACGTGGGGGACTATGGGTTATATCATACATGCTAATTGGTCGCTTGGGTTTCTTACTGATTTTATATGTGACTAGAAAATAATTTCTGATTTCTATGAAAGACTAGGATGGGTATGCTGCAAACCCATTTTGCAGCGGCAATGCAGTGCGTAAAGCAGTATGTTTGTTTACTGTTGATGGACCTTGAAAATAATAAAAAATAGTTAGTCAGAATACTTTCTAATCCAGTAGTAGGTTAGCATAGTAGTAGACCTGGCAATCGGGTCGGGTTGGGTAATTTTGGGATGGGAACTTTGATTACTGGTCGGGTCATGTTTGGTTGGTTTATTTCGGGTCAAATATTGACCTAATCCATTCGGTTACGGGTCGGGTTACAGGTCAATTCGGGTTATGAGCGTTCTCAGAAAAAATATCTAACATGCTTCATATTTTCTTAAAGAACACAAATTTTCACATATGCATGACAATAGTTTACCTAACACATGTCAATTAACATATTCTCAAATCCTCCCACGCTAATGAAATGAAATACAAATTGCGCAAATCGTCAAAAACAATCACAAGAGTAATACTACTACAAGAAACACATGATATTTGATTATCCTTAAACTCCAGACATGTCATTCAAATCATTGTGAGTTTTTTTAAATATCTCACCAATTTATGAGTGATTTTATCATATTTTGTGAGTAATATATTAAATAGAACGGGTCTAACGGGTCGACCCGCTAACCCACTCAACCCGACCCAAAAAATCACGGGTTATCGGGTTTGAGTCATTCAGATCTCGGGTTACAAAAATTTCTAGTTTTCGGACGATTTCGGATCGGGTTGTAATTTGCCAGGTCCACATAGTATAGGCTAGCACTATACCAATTATAAATTATAATTGTTTGCATCGAAGTTGTAATCCTACAATTTGGAAATGACAACGATTACAACTGTAAAAACAGTAACTTTTACAATATTTTTTTAAGGAATAACTATCACAATAATTGCTTCCAAATAATAGTATGGTAATTGGAAAAAATAACTACAACTATAATTATACACTACATGATACAGCTACAACTATCATTATACAGCTACAACTTATGATTAACATAATGCTACATGATTCATGGTTATGGTTAGGAAGATAACCCATTGATCCCAAAATAGCTTCAATTGGTTGGACTCACTGAACCCGAACGCTATTCTTTTATATTCTTCAATGTGTTATGATCCCATCTTCCTTCTAGGATTCCATCTAATCAAATAGTTATAAATCATTATATACTTTAGTAATGTATGCACATGGGAAGACAATTATAAAACCTTTTACGGTGTTAATATGACTTGAATTGGATTACTTGTTGTTGATTGAAAGTCATGAGGGCCTGTACACGTTTGGACTTCTATTTTGGGTCTGTTCGTAATCTTATTATTTACCATATATGATTATTGATTAGGGTTAGGCCTTTGAAGATAATCTTAAACTCTTATGCGACGGAGGAGAGCGTCACAAATTATTTAAGATACTTTGCGATGAAACATTTCGTCGCCGAAAACTTGACTTCTCATCGCCAAATCCATTTTACTACTTGGTTTTCCTTTTTCGAAAAAAATGATACTATCTGCGAAGGTGAACTGAAATTCGTCACGCAAACCTATCTTTTAGCGACGAAATTTGTTCCGTAGCCACATAATCCGTCGCAAAAGGTGTTGTTTTTTTGTAGTATCATATTCCTTTGTAATTTGTATGATTTAAAATATAATGAAGCTGACTCTCTCCCCTACATAGAAAAAATAACACACATTGTGTTAGTGGACCCCGTAGATCTGTTCGCTTTTTACTTTCTTCGCTATTATTGTCATTCTTGCATTTTCAATTACGTCGGTCCATCTACGTGACACATGGCAACATTAATTCAACTAATTATAGCAAAACCAACATCAATAGCAACCATAGAAACTAACAATCCTTAAACAATTATATATGAAGAGAGAGTTGCAGTTTATACCATCTAAGTTCTAACCCGTATATATTGATAGCTCATCAAAGGTGGCAAGGGAAGAAGTGTGGGTAATAAAGCGGACAGTAACACAGAATAGTGCAGCTCTTATTAAATAGTAATCACTATTTACTGAGTTAATGTCATGTTTGGTCACTGAGTTTAATAAAATGTGTGATATTTAGTTGCTAGAAAAAATTAATATCAATAATGGTCACTAAGTTTAGTAAAACATGTCATGTTTTGTCACTATCCGTTAGTCTCCATCCAACTCCATTAATAGAGTCAGTTAAGTGCTGAAGTGGCAAACGAAATCGCCTAATTAACCAGATTTAACTCAACAAAAATAAAACCCTACCCGCCACGTCATTAAAATCCGCCACGTCATTAAAACTACCCAACCATTTCTCTTCTTCTCTCTTTAACTGATCGACCCGAACCTTCTGTCTTCCACATCTTTCCTCTCCAAATCCAGCCACCTCATGCTCCACCGCTAATCTCTTATCCCAGTTCACTAATTCTAGCACTCGGTTCCCTTCAGTCCCAACCACAACCCTAAATCGATATGGATACTTTACCACTCTATCTCAAAAATCGTCAGGAATTTCGAACAACAATCGACAATAATGAATCTTACTCAGAGGGATATGCTTGTCCCTGGACATCATCAACAGCTTGCCGGCATCGTCGATGCGAAGGACGTGGTCCGGCTGCTGGGAGAGGAACTGTTTGGATCTGGCGAGAAGCGGAAGTGGGAATCGTGAAGGAATCGAGAAGGTGGTTCCTGGTGGAAGGATACTGGGCGAGCTTGGTGCGAGGGGAATCGCGCTTCTTGCGCTTCTTCTCGAACTTTTTGGGGGGTTTTGGTGACGAGGAATGAGGTGGAGAACTGGGCTAAGGTGGGAGAAGAAAGAGGAAAGAAAAAGTTAGTGTTTTCGAGGATGGGTTGGGAAAATAGGGTTTCGGTCGCGCTTGTTTGGGAGGTTGAAGGTGCAGACGAGGGAGAAGAAAGAGGAAAGAAAAAGTTAGTGTTTTCGAGGATGGGTTGGGAAAATAGGGTTTCGGTCGCGCTTGTTTGGGAGGTTGAAGGTGCAGACGAGGGAGTGGCGCCACGCCATGAGAATCCGAAACTTTGGTTTGGAGAAAGACAGTTAAATCACCGAATCGAGGCTAAGATGGCGAACAGGGTGTGGGGATTTGAGAATAAGAAGAGGATTTACGGGTTCTAGGTATTGTCTGCAGGAGTTGGCAGATGCAAAGAAGAGAATTTCTGGGTTTGGGGAAATAGATTATTGGGTTTAATTGTCTGTAGGAGTTAGATGAGGCGAGGAAGAGAAGAGGATTCCTGATTCGAAGCCCTTCATCCTGATTCCCCTTTTCGCTCTCAATTCCGTAACCACCTTCCTATACTTCTCCTTCCACCACCAGAACCACCACACCCCACCGCTTCCCTTCTCTATTGCATTCTGCCACCTCCCTCTCATCTCAAACCGCCACTTCCTCCCGACCCAGCTCGCCACCACGCGCTGCCCTCCATATCAATACTCTGATGAGTTCGATCGATAGAGAAAGGGTTTCGAGTCTATTTTGCAATTTTGTATAAGTGCGTTTGGTTCTAGTTCGGGTTGGGCATATGACATGTCGGGTTTAGTGACATGGTGAGTCAGGTTTCACTATTTCTGGTCTAAAATGACGCTGACTAGGCGCTCCCGTTAGTCATGTCAGCACATAACAAACTATTTTGACGGAGTTTGATGGAAACTAACGGAGAGTGACTAAATGTCACCTGTTTCAATAATTCGAGTGACCAAAATTAATATTGATTTTTTTAG